GACTTTATATAGCTACAAATTAAACCTTAGTTCGTTTGTTGTGAAGAGAACGGTTGAGGAAGAGGCAAAAACAGCTGGGCTCTCATGGGCACAGATTAGAGGAGCAGCCCAAAACCGAGTCCGCTGGAGATGTGTGGTTGCAGCCCTTTGCTCCCAGTGGCCACAAAGGAGTGATGATGATGATTGTTTGTTGTAACCTTTCAAATATTCGCTTTTTAAGTCTGTTGGTCAAACAGAGACAATCAAAATAATTCTTTGATAAAGGAAGTAATCAACAGTTACGTCCCTTTTTATAATTTATTTAAGGACCGATAACGTGCGTTTACATCAGTTCAAAGTTTAGGTTTAAATAAACAAAAAAGAATAAAATAAAATAATTATACGATGTACAGTTAATCAAACTGTCAGAAATTTCAACTTAATTTGTAATTAAATAGTAATTAATTAGGTTAAAAGCCAACTTCCTCTTGACAAACGCTGATTTCAGATTGTGAAATCATCATTTGTATTTAAGAAGAAATAAATTGTGTTATGTAATGGGAACCCCATGCTTTATAACTGATTTATTACCAGATAGTAAATCTGGTAAGGTATCTTGTATTAATGAATTTCTATAACAACAGCCAATATGTCATTATATTTGGTAACTTATTGTATTTTGAAGTTGTTTGCATGTGATTAAAAATGTGTTGTTTTCTTTCGTTTATAATAAGAAACTTTATAAGCACTAACAATAACTTTAAGTTCACCCTGTTATACTTAATATTTTAAAGCTTATCTACTGAATACAATTATATTTAACTTTTATTTGATGTCAACCTTTCTGTAGAACAAATTTCAACACCTGAGAATGTTGGTTTCCATTTGTACACAACACACAAAATGTGAAGGCTATAAGAACAGACGGTAACAAACACAATTATTTAGAAAATTTAAAAAGCCACTGTTTTCATCCAATTGTTTTATTAGCTGTAGTTGGACATAATGGCATCACTATGGATGGGTGAAGACAACAGTTATTGACGATGATGAAGGAAGATGATTAGAAGATGATAATGAAGATGATTAGAAGATGATAACGAAGATGATCAGATGATGAAGGAAGATGATCAATTTAACAATGGTCCTAGTATGGTGACATCACATGTCATGCACTGGTCAACCACATGACATTCACAAGATGTACACCACATGTCAGGTATACTACATTTCATGTACTCAACATAACATGGCATTTACAAGATGTACATTGGATATGTAAAAAAAAATGTGCAGAAGAAAAAATGGACATAACATGATTGGTTGAAAAAATGGACAAGTGTACTGACATTTATGTCAATAAGATGGACAAATAGACTAACATTTAATAAGATGTTAATGGATCCTAAACTTTAAATACTTTTAGTTGAATGTATTGTAAAATATATGTTAACCTATGATGGGAGGTAATCTATTTAAGACTAAATAACCGATGATATGACAGTGAATTAAATACGTCAGGTTGCCCTATAATGCCAACAGTTTTTTGTCCTTAAGGGATGGACTGAGACAAGGAATCACTCAACAATCAATTTATATTCATCAATATATTCTTTCTGAGATAACTTCTATGTCTGTCTTGTTGGTTATTTCAAAGACAAAATTTGTTTTTAATTTTAAAATTTCCACATGTGGTGTGTTACATATTTACACATTTACAGCAATTAAGCTTTGGTGCCCTTAATTTCTGCTAATGAAATTTATCCTTTTATGATTTAGCTAAAATGTATTTATGCAAACCTAACAAACGTGTGTAAACTGCATCAATACTAATAACAAGGTAATATGGTAGAGTGATGAAGTTTCTACCTGCGATGTAAGACACAAATAACTGATGCAACTTTGGGTGTAGAGAGGGAGGTAATGTGGTAGAGTGATGAAGTTTCTACCTGCGATGTAAGACACAAATAACTGATGCAACTTTGGGTGTAGAGAGGGAGGTAATGTGGTAGAGTGATGAAGTTTCTACCTGCGATGTAAGACACAAATAACTGATGCAACTTTGGGTGTAGAGAGGGAGGTAATGTGGTAGAGTGATGAAGTTTCTACCTGCGAAACTTTTGTTTTATCCAGCAAAACTAGGAGAGATGACGAGCCAATGAAATGTGAGCTAATGAGGTACACGCAGGGTCAAGGGTCATACAGCACAGCTGACAAGTTTGGCAAATGTTAAACCTGACACAACTGACATGTTTGGCAGATGTTAAACCTGACACAACTGACATGTTTGACAAATGTTAAACCTGACACAACTGACAAGTTTGGCAAATGTTAAACCTGACTCAACTGACACATTTGGCAGATGTTTAACCTGGTACAACTTGGACACAACTGTGATGTACAACGCTTGACCACAAGGTTTGATATTAATAATTTTGTTGGAGTGTACAAAACCCTGGTTTTAAACAGAAAGATAAGCAAACAAAGTCAAACAAAACAAAAAGCTCAACCAAATGGAAAATAAAAGTTGTACTGAGCAGACTTTGAATAAATAAGACAATAAATCATTTCTGTTAGCACTGAGATCATTAGGAATGATAAACAAAACATTATTATTAAATAGGCTGTAGGAATTTGTGTGCATGAAGAATGGATTAGGTAACATCCAACATGTTATGTCTGATTTAAAGTATATTTTTTGTAGGAAGTTTTATTCATTACAATTGATGTAAATTTGCAATTAATTAATGAATACAAATTAAATTAGTTATTATTTCAAAAAATATAATAAATTATCAGTTACTATACTAATAGAAATTAATTTAGTAGATCATTGATGGAAACCCTTTTTAAAACTGGCATGTTTATTTCTGATGTAAAATAATTTAGTATATCATTGATAGGGAAGCCTAATTCCGACAGAAAATATTTTACAGTAGCTTTTTTTTTATAAAGTAAGTTTTAAAATGTTAACAAAACTCTAGTTGAAAAATGTTAACAAGTGGACACTGTAAAAAGGAATGTATTTTTAGCCTTGTAAAAACATTACTGTAAAATGATATGCAGATAAAATAAAAGTGCAGCCCTAGAGGAAAAAATATTAACCTCACAATTTACACTTTATTTATTTAAGGAATGTCAATAACAAAAAAAATATTTTACAGCAATAATTTAAAATCACAAGTTAAAATGTTTCAATTCAAATATTCATTTCCCTAATTATAAATTCCCAATACCATCATTACCACATTTTCATAACCTAAACCTATTTTAAAATCTACAAAAATACCTATTCAAATACACACTGAATATCCAAGTACATTAGTGGTTTAGGATCAACTATATGCAGGGGCAGATAATTATGGCAAGAAGCTATAAATAGTATCACATTAAAATCAAAGTGACTTTCTCATCCTCCACTATGATGTCCTATTTCTAAGTGCATTAAAGAAATGCCATTCTATAAACCCTTTCAAATACAACAGAAGTGAGTTCTGTAGACACACACAGGCAAGCTTACAATTCAAGCTCTCTATTTTGTTTATAAACTTTATCTTTAACATTTTTAGAAATAGAAATATGTTTGATACAGTCTGAAGCTAACCAGTTGTTAAAACATTTTTTCTTGTTATGTATTGACCAAATAGGCAAACCAAAAACACTTTTTTTTTCTCCAAAACACAGGCAAAAGTTTACAGGCCATTAATTTAAAAAAAAAGGATAATTAAAATATTTTAGTTATTGAGACCAGTAAATGTGAGTGAGACATGCTGAAACTTTTGAAAATTTTGACCCAATATCAAATACACAAGTATTTTAATATGATCGAAATTTAGGAAATTACTTGTAGGCATCGATAAAAAAAATCCCGTTTAATAAAATTTAATTATAATTTATACCAATTTTAGTTTACTTTATAGTTTCTACTAAGTTAATGACTATCTTGGTTGTTTCTTCAAAAAAAAATCAAATTAAATTTTATTATGTAGAAATATTTATGAATCAAATGTTAGATTACTATCATCCATTTGTGTCTGTAACTAGAGAAAATAAATTGATCACCAAATGGTTTGTGTGTTTAAAAAGATCCCAGCCAATTATATTTTGTCTCTAAACAAACTAAAATCATCAACCAATCAGATTTTTGGTGAATTGGGTAAATAAAATAGTATCAGCCAATGACTCATGGGAACAAATTTAAAGTTAACTCTTTTCTGTTTTAGATGAATGATACATCTATGTGAACCTCCAGGTTTACTTGAAAACATTTAATTTTTTTTTAAATCCTGCAGTTTTGTAAATAACAATCTGAAACAATCAGCATCAGATTGCTAAAAGTCCAACCCACAAGTCCCACAACTCCATGTAAAACACATGTCAAGAAGTTTGAGAGTAAAATAACCAAGTGCTAAGACTTGAATGAGAGCAAGTCAAGCCCCACATTTATAGTGAAGTATACAGGTCAACATGATAAGGGAAAAGGTGAATCTCATCTTTAAAACTTTCACAGTTCTAGCTAGAACATCTGTAAGGTTAATTCACATGTCTAGCTAGAACACGAATAATGTTAATATTTTATGTTAAACAACTCTCACCACAAATTTAAACTCCAGGAAGTAGAGAACTAAACAGCATCAACAGGTCAAAGTTCATATCCTTAGAGTGAAGAATAACACAGAAAAAGTTTAGCTCCAAATGTCCAACTTAGCTTCTCCTATATCCACTGAGAATCTGACACATTACCAAATGTTTGTAAAGTATTTTAGACAGGTCACTCACACAGTTGGTCAACTGGTCAGTGGCTTTGTCCTGCAGCAAATAATACAACTCAACCACGAGTCTTCTGCTGACCAACACATTGGCAAAATCACAACAATCCCAGAACACATTTTGAAATAATTGTAGACATTTGTTCATCCATTATTTCATAACTAACTAGTTGTGTCCTAAATATGTTAGCTAGTGACTAAACGTGTGTCCTATGTCAGTTAGGGACTGACAAGTGTCCACAATGTGTCCGTTCTCTGTGTCAACCATTGACTCACTGTGTCCTTGCCCACCCAAGTTTGTGTGGTCAGCAACTGACTAGCACTGCCTTTCATGTAAAAGCTACCAGAAAGTCCTGTCCTGTCTGGCTCTGATCCTAGTCTATCTGAGGTAAATGGTAGAACAAATTTGTCTTGCTTCTACACAAGGCGAAGATGAATGACTCACTCAGTGTTGAGTGACTGATGGTTCATGTTGGATGACTGATGATGTGAAGCTAGTGACATCAAGATGACTTTGAGAAGATGACTTTGAGAAGATGACTTTGAGAAGATGACTGAAGAACATAGAAGGAGGCTGGCTACCAGTGGGTGCTACTCTCTACAGACCTAGTTTTGTGTATAGCTGATGACACTGTTATATCGGAACACTCGTCCGAACTTGTGTCCGTCTCAGATTTCTGGGAAAGAAAACAAAAAATTTTATCACTGAGATACTCATTGTTTGTAATATTCAAGAGTAGTTTTTTAACAAACTTTAGTAACTAAATGTTTTGCGTTTCTTTTCTTTAAAAACAAAGTTGAAAACGAATCTACAATAGACCCTTGCCACCTAAATACTACCTGCTTTAGAAATGTAAATATTGGTAATAAAATAATAAGGAAATACAACAATCATCACTAATATAATTTAGACAAATTTTAAAAATATAATCTTACAAAGGCAAACAGAAATTATCAATTATATCTATGGCTATAAACTAATCTCCAACCCACCATCCTATCAGGGGAGTTAACTTTGTTTTTCATCTTCTTGACAGTTTTCTCCCTGTCCGACAGACCATCTGGTATGTAGGTCAGTTTGGTCAGCTCCGCCTGCAGGTTTTCTGCACTGCCAGTGGACAGCAGACCGTTGTCACCACTGCCATCTTGGTTGCCTGACCTGTCACTGATATCCTCCTCTGAGAAGACACCTTCAGAGCTCAGGGTGGAGAAGGACTGGCGGCAGGGGGGACGACAAGGTGTCTCGTCATCACTCACCTCCCCTTCCTCTTCTTCAGACCAGGATTCTTCAGAGTGCTAACAGAGACAAATAAAATTGTTTACAAATGGAATTTTTTTTTTTAAATTTAAGGGGATAGGCTCAGGAAAAAAACTGGAGAAAAAAATATTAAATAATGAGCCTTTTTGTTTATGTATCTTCTTCTTCGTTCTTAATTATTAGTGTTGAAGGGGATCGAGATTTATCTGCCAGTGGGTTGAAATCGAGACTTTGTTCAAATTTATCAACCATGAGCTTTTTGCCGACTCGACCATGCCTCCAACACAATTAAGCGTTCCGTATCAACTGGTTATGCGCCTGTTTATGTATAAGTTAAAGTATTTAAGGGGAAATTTTTGCATGCCTTAGGGACTCTTCTGAAAATATGCTTGCCATAGCAATAGCGGCCATCTTGAAAAATTAACTTTTTGTGGAGTTCTAAAATTTCATAAAATAACATATCGGCCATATACTGGTTCTTCTTTTACTTACAGTAAAAGAGTCAGCTGGCTAGTTTTTTTTAAAAAAAAACCTGCTAGAAATATTTTTTTTCAAATTATTTTTTTTTTGGTAAAATACCGTTAAATTTAGCATTGCTTTTATAAATTTTTCACCATACCAAATTTTGAAAATTCAAAAAAAAAATAATTTCTAGAGTGTTTTCTGGAGCCTGCACCCTTAAACCAAAATTAATATTTAAAAGTGATCTATTATTAGTTATTATTAATCAACAACCATATATAATAATAATACAAAATAAATAACATTAATAAAAGTTGATTGGTAGTTGTCTGCTAATTTATAACAGACATTTTTTTTCTAAACTGGAGCCAAATCATTTTTAAACAAAAATGTTGCAACACAAGCAAATATCATCACTTACTACACACAAAATTTAATAAGTAAAAAAATATTTTTACATGGATTTTCTGACAGTTTGCAATTAATTTTGTGTGTGTATATATATATATATATAAATATATAGAAAAAACTACTTACTTATCCAATATTATTTAAACATAACATTAAATACTTTTTTGTTAGCATTTGTAACCATAAAAAAAATGTATAAGGGGAGTGTTAGTTTAAAATATGCTCAGGATAATTATAGTTATATTTATTTTCTGTCATTTTGACATGGTTAAAAATACCATTCTTTTAACTTATATTTTATTACTAATGATAATAATACAGTAGTTTTACCAAAAACTTTATTAAGCCTGAAAAAAAAAATAATTCCAATAGTGTTTGAAGAAAATAAGATTAACGATCAGCTAAGGGGAGTGATTAACAACCACAAATAGGCAACTACACCAGATTTAGTAAATTTGATAAACTAATTTAATTATTTTTTTTATAAAAATAGCTGATCATAATTTAAAAAATGAAAAAGAAAACAAGGAATAAAAATAAATAAAACAAAATTGTAAAAAACTTTGATTGACTGACCTTGGTGTTTCTGAATCTAACAGAGGAATTGTTTGCCTCCCTTTTCTGCAGGACACCGTCCACATTTTGTCCAGCTCTCTCCGTCCCCGCCTGGCTGTCCTCGTACCTGTCCTGACACCTGCCAGAGTTCTCAAAGATGTCAGAGCTTCTCCTCCGGCAGGACGGGCTCCTGTGTCTCCTGCTCATATCCTGGCTGCTGTGCACCCGTTTGACCCCCGACCCCTGCGAGCTCATAAGTACAAGATGGTGGTTGGTGGAGTTTGTGAGAGTCTGTTGTGTGAGACTGGTGTTGATGGTGTCACAGTCGGTGTGTGACGTCGTCGTTTGGATGACGCCCGAGTTCAACTGTGAGCTAACAGAGTTCGTGCTGCTCTCCGGGAAATTTAAATTTTCATTCGAGTCTTTTTCTCGTACTGTGTACGTCTGGGGTTGAAGGTCAGCGGGGGATGCCATGGGCGAGCATGAACATGACCCTGAGCCGGTTTCATGACGAGACGAGTCAACATCCGGGGATGATTTCTCGCTCATTGTTTCAAGCGGTTGGTGTTTGGGGCTAGACAGGGGAGACAAATCACAGGTGCTCTCAACATCGGCGCTGACCTGGGACGGCCTTTTGCTGCTGCACGTGGCGTCACTACACCCGCCATCGCAGCCAAAGCAAACGTCGTTGATGTTATTGTCTTTGAATAGCGGTGATCGCCTGGAGATGGGAGACCTCTTGGTGCTGTTGGCGCTGGAGGTCCTGTTGCACAGCTCCTGACGTTTTTTGATGTTGTTCTCCATGTGTGAGATCCTCATCTCACAGCCGTCCACCTCGTCCTCGCTCCTGTACTCCCTGATGGCGGTTCCCGGCCACAGGTACTTGAAAGTACCGGGGAACTGCGGGTGCTCTATGTGGTGTAGGCCAGCAGGGTTCAGGGCTTCAGCATTTCTGGCTTCGTTGTCCCGCGAGGGGGACTTGATGGGGGAGGCAATGTCCTTCATAGAGCCTCGGCTGTTATTGCGACGATGTCGAGACTTGCGCGTCCTCATCTTGGTGGGTGAGGGTAGAACCAGCTCCGATCTTGTTGTCATGCTGCCTTCTGTGTTTTTCATGGAGTTGGTTACAATCTTATAAAAACTTAGGATTAGAGAACGTGGTAGAAGGGTTAGACAGGAGTAGGTGCCAAGAGTAGAGAGGGGTGGTGACAAGAGAGGGGTGGTGACAAGAGAGGGGTGGTGACAAGAGAGGGGTGGTGACAAGAGTAGAGAGGGGTGGTGACAAGAGTAGAGAGGGGTGGTGACAAGAGTAGAGAGGGGTGGTGACAAAAATAGAGAGAGTGGTGACAGGAGTAGAGAGGGGTTGTGACAAAAGTATAGAGGGGTTGTGACAAGATTAAAGAGGTGTGGTGACAAGAGTATAGAGGGATGGCGACAAGAGTACAGAGGGGTGGTGAGAAGAGTAGAGTGCGGACCCTCCGGCAGAGGAGGTTCAACAGCTAGGGATATCAAATCTTCTCGGAGAGAAAACTCCAAAACAAAAATCAAACTTGGTTGGAGAAAGGGTATGGAAGCAAATCCAAAAAGAAAAGGCTGAAATCAGGGTTAATGACCTATATCGCACATCACAAGTTGACACATTAGACTTAGTTGTGTTGGTGGGAATCCCTTGTAACATTACAAGTAAGAACTAAGACGATGATTTACTTTAAGTGTAGTGGCAATCTGCATAGTTTAGAATCACCGTGTGTACAAATATGAGTAAAATAAAATCCTGCACAAATTTGCCTTTTAAAATTGGTATTTTAGAGCAGTTTTAAAATTAACTTTTATACTATCCAACTATTTTACAAGCTGATGTTTGTCTAAAGGCCTACTAGACAGTTGCGGCACAGTGCAGAGGGAATAGGGCGGGGGGGGGGGGGGAGGTGCGGGCCACATCAAGTGACGTCGAAACAAAAAAAATGTCTAATTTTAATATCTGATTTTCCCAGTTAGTTGCCCAACGTGAGAATGTTTGTATACATCATTTGACATAGATGGAGGATGTAACACCATCTAGATTATAATGTACGAGCTGACCCGCGGCGTATCACACGCCGCAATTTAGTTTTATTTTCTACTTTTCAGTAATTCATAATTTGTGAATTCGACAACATTACCAATGACGTCACTGAAAATATTTACTTTAAAACACTAAAACCCTCCTTCCCCCCCCCCCCCCGCCCCGTGAAAGAAGCCTCCTCTTAGTTACCTCCTCTAAGTTTTAAATAGTTTCAAACTTAATTATCTGACCCTTATAGACGTCCTTAAACCCGGCTCTACGATCAGAGACGTAGCGGCCCTTCCCGGCGCCCGGGAACAAACTTCCAATTTGGCGCCCCTCTCGGGAGGAAATTTTCAATTTGCACCCCACCCTCCCTCAAACTTTTGATTTGCACCACCACCCCCCTCAAACTATTTATAATGCAAATATGCAGCTAAAATAACATTTTAATTTGTTTTTACAACCCATTTTGGCGCCCCCTATGGTCGGCGCCCGGGGACATATGTCTACAATTGTAAACATTTAGCGTGAACCACAGCTCACCAGGCCACGTGGGCATAGAGAGGAAGGGAGGGGAATGCTAGGCGCGCTTACAGCTTGGTGTTTTCTAACGTCTCCAAGAAGAGAATTATATACATAGATGGAGTAGTCGTTGGCTGAGGGGGTGACACACTGGGTTACCGGACCTGGTGTCGACCAACCCAATTATTAATACTACTGCTCCTACTCAAGCTAAGTACTGTAGCCAAGCGTACTCTGGAAGTCTTTACGTCACTCAACATTGTTATGTAATTTTTGGACCTTTAGTGTAAGCCCTGCTAGGGGGGGATACCTTAAATCTACCCTTCTAGGCTTAACTAACTAATCTGTCCGGTCAGTGCAACCGTGGTAGAACCCACAGTGGTTAAACCCTAACCTTAGTCTAAATAATAAGCTACTAAAATAAAACAAAAACTTTTACAGTTAATAAAATTTATTGCATGGAACCAAAAGTTAAAAAAAAGAATAGATATAAACTGACACAAAACAGAACCAAACGAAACAAACTTTTTACATCAAACAAAACATTACGTTTGACCATTTGCTGGTCCAGGCCCTGACACACAGAAACCTCCCTTCATCCATTCTCGACATCCAAAAGTCCACACCAAACAAAACACTACGTAAAACCACTACGTACAATACATTACGTAGAACACAATACGTACACAACAAACTTTTTACACCAAACAAAACAATTCATATATAACAAAACACCCAGCCAAGTTGCCCAAGCAACCTCACTCCACGCGTGCGGTGCGCCACGCAGAAACCTGACCCGACCTACATCTCGCCGCGGGTCAAAAAAAGGAAGAAAATCACTCCGAGCGGTCAATTTATACTGACCGCTTCGGACGGAAGGGGACTCCGTGCCGTTCCCCATTGGACCACCATGCACTCCCAGATTCGCAACAAATAAAATAATACAAAATAAATAATCCATTCACCCGCTCACATTCACCCCTTTTAAAAATCTTACAGTCCCTGTAAGACAAAAAAATACATATAACAATCTTAAAATAAAACATGCACCCATCTCTTACACCAAGCCTATAAGCTTGAATGCAAAAAAACAATTTCCATTAACATTAATCTTGCGTCTCTGTGCTCCCTAAAAAAACTCAAGGCACCAAGATAGTGTTCCCTTTACTGAGGGCTGATCCGCGCTACTAGTCCTGTCGGTCGTTCATCCAGAAGGACAAGGGTCAGCCTAGACCCGCCCGCTACTATTGGCACACGTTGCCTGTCCATCTCGTCCACTACACAACACACCGTGTTCTAGTTCTGGCCTCAGCATCAGACCACCGGTAAAACGTCCGCTTAGTTGGTCCGGAGATGACGCAACCGCCTTGACCCACTGGCTCTCCGACTGTTACCCGCCCCCAACGATCGTGCCTCCGCTTCGACACACCTGTGGGGCGGGTGTCCAGTAGCCCTCTTTGTGGGTCAAGGAGTTGACGTCATAGGCCTCTCGTTGTTCACCGGTCTGCCGTACACACCAGATCCGCGCCACGCCCGTGTGTGTTGTCCAGTCTAGACCACACGAGGCCGCCATCTTCATCACACGCCAGGTCCAGTGCCACACACCGTGCCTTGTCCCGCCTAGCACACCGGAGGCTCTCCGAGGCACGTCTCTCCGCCAACCTGACTGGGTGTTTAAACAACAAACAATCCCTACACTAAACAAAAACTAAACACATATGGTTCCATAAAGGGCCTATCAAAAACAAAAAAATTAACTAAGCTACACTAGCCCTAGTAAAAAACAAAAATTTAACTAGACTAAAGCACTGACCCCACTCGTGCTACCAATTTGTAAGCCCTGCTAGGGGGGGGATACCTTAAATCTACCCTTCTAGGCTTAACTAACTAATCTGTCCGGTCAGTGCAACCGTGGTAGAACCCACAGTGGTTAAACCCTAACCTTAGTCTAAATAATAAGCTACTAAAATAAAACAAAAACTTTTACAGTTAATAAAATTTATTGCATGGAACCAAAAGTTAAAAAAAAGAATAGATATAAACTGACACAAAACAGAACCAAACGAAACAAACTTTTTACATCAAACAAAACATTACGTTTGACCATTTGCTGGTGTTGCGCCGACTTATGATGTCTAGGATGGTCCAGGCCCTGACACACAGAAACCTCCCTTCATCCATTCTAGACATCCAAAAGTCCACACCAAACAAAACACTACGTAAAACCACTACGTACAATACATTACGTAGAACACAATACGTACACAACAAACTTTTTGCACCAAACAAAACAATTCATATATAACAAAACACCCAGCCAAGTTGCCCAAGCAACCTCACTCTACGCGTGCGGTGCGCCACGCAGAAACCTGACCCGACCTACATCTCGCCGCGGGTCAAAAAAAGGAAGAAAATCACTCCGAGCGGTCAATTTATACTGACCGCTTCGGACGGAAGGGGACTCCGTGCCGTTCCCCATTGGACCACCATGCACTCCCAGATTCGCAACAAATAAAATAATACAAAATAAATAATCCATTCACCCGCTCACATTAGTGAGTATAAATCTTCAACAGTCCCCAAGTCGTCCAATATTTTTGGACCTCTGTCCTCTGCCCCCAAAGGGTAAAGCTAAACAATTACTGACCACACAGTGTGACAACATGCTACGACCCTCATGTACCAAATGCGAACGTCCAGCAAGAACAAAGAACAGTTACATCTACCATAGTATTAGATCTAGTACATTTGTTGGATGAGCTGAAGCTCTGCATAATATTTTTCGTTATTTTCCATACGACTATAGATCTATAGATAGGCCTATATAATTATATCGTCATTTAATTAAATATAACTACGCCGAAATATCCGAATCTAAGAATAGTTATGACATTAACACTTCGGGGTTTCCCGAAAAAATACAT